CAGGTGTGCTCAGGTGTGCCGAGGAGCCCCGCCCACCGAACACCTGAAACACATGTAGAGAGAAAAGCCTGGGAACATGGGGCAGAGATTTAACTGTGAAAACCTGTTATCTTACTTTATCACAGTACCTGAGATACGAGCACTATTCCCCGTTTCCAAAATGGGATTGGCCGTGCGAGCGGTTATTTTTGCAAAGACCGCAGCGGTGCGATAAGAGTGCAGATCTGACATCGATAAGATGCGTTTCACTGAGTTCGTTTAGCAAAGTTTGGCGGAGTTACTCAGAGCCCCCGTCCATGGAGCGCACAGCCGTCGTTACGTCACCCCCCGTTGCTGCAGAAACGGTGCTTTCACACACCGGAATTCAAACAAAGCGCGAAAGGATGTTCTTCAAAATAAGAGCACATAAAACCCGCAAACCTTTCATTTGAAAACGTAATTCCACACAGATTTGTGATAATATTCATTGGCTGATTCGGTCACTGATTCGAGGTTAAAAACAGGGCAAAAAAACCCAAAATATAATTTTTTTTTGCTAAAACCCAGACAACGAGCTGATGCTGAACTTTGAGAAGCAAGTCTGCACTCAGAAACCTCGTTTTAATGGTTAAATAACCTTAATGTCAGTGGTCAATGAGACATGAAAATTACACGTGTGCACTCATCAGTCAAATATGAAAAGTTTGTCTTTAGCGAAGACTTGAGACTCCTCTAAACACTCTTTTACCTACACTGTCTTTTGTTTGTTTTGTTTTTTTACTCTTTTTTTCCTATGAGGAAGTGTCTCTAATGACACTCTCTCAGGCAGAGAAGCATTACAGCATTACAAAGTGCAAAAATATTAAAACAAGTCACTGTAACTGTTCTTTAACCAGTTAAATGATCAAAAATCTTTATATTTGTCAAGCTCTGCAAAAGGTGAATACCTTAACTCAAAATTTTGAGATACTAAACTTAAATTTTGGCATATGGCTAGCATTAAATAAATGAATAATAAAATAAATAAGTAATAATGGTAAAAAGTTACATTTAAATTAAAAAGTGCTGGAAACAAGCTTCCATTCCTAACGGAGTTTAGGCAAATATTTTAAGTAATCTAAAAATATCAAAGTTACAAGGCTTGTTTAAAAAGATCTATGGTAGCAATAAGAATGAAAAACGATCATTTCATACAGAGAGAGCGTGGGGCGCTTGAGCCATTTGAGTTTTAATTTGAAGGTACACCGGAAGTGAGGCCGTTTGCGTTGAGGCTAATATGACGAGAATGGAAGCGTTGAGGAGGCGTGTGGTTCCAAACAGGAAGAAACTGGGAAAACACGCAGTAAATACGATATCCTCGGACACAGCCAACTAACAGCCTGGGGCAGATGGTACAAACTACTTTTTCTCCCTGCCGGAGGCCTGTGGACCGTTCCTGGTGTACTCCTTTTAGATCTGTCCCGCAGTCGGAGGGGCTGTCTGGGGGGGGCTGACGCACCAGCAGAAGCGCAGGAAGGCGGGGGGCTGTCATAGCAGCAGGCTAGGCTAGGCTAGGCTAGGCTAGGCTAAGCTTGGCTAAGCTAAGCTAAGCGCTGCAGCCCGGAGAAACCTTGAACTTGTGTAAACTTTGTGGAGTACAACACCGGAAGTAGCATCACCGGAGTGGTTAAACGACAACCACGGACTCCACAGATGAGATAAATATACACAAACGTCTATTATTTTCATAGATGTTTTTTTTTTCTAAAAAGTGTTAGCCTGGAAGCGGACTTATAGCCAGTTAGCTGTTGAACACATCCAGGCTCTGGCAGGGGGACGTGAGCGGGAGGAAAATCGCCTCAGTTTGCCCCATGCACATCCGCAGAATGGATCTAATTTGCGTTGTTAACCAGTGAAAAGCTATTGGACGCTAACTAACACAGTGGATGTTAATTAATCACTGAGGTATCAGCGGATGAAGATTGTTTTTGACACATAAGAGGGACTTTTTTCTGTTTTGTCATATCGGTTTTTGTGATAACTTCTGCTTTCCGTTAGTGTGGTTATCATGGAGGTAGGGGAGCCTGGCAGCGGCAGCTTGGAGCGGTTACATAACGCCAGCAGGCCGGGAGAGAAGCTGCTGAACGTCGCCTCCTCTTCAGCCTCCTCAACCTGGCTCTGACAGCTGTAAACCCCCCTCCAGCGCATACACACACACACACTCACACTAACAGACTGACAGACGCACAAACAAACACAGACAGACTGACAGCAGGACAGCAGCATGGAGGTGGTGTGAGGCATCTGGGAGATAGAAAACAGCAACGAGAAGGAGCGTTTTGCTGAAGATGGAGTCCAACCCACTGATTAACGGTGAGAAATACTGCTGCAGGATACAGTTGCGTGCGTGCGTGCGTGTACCGCAGTCCTGCGTGTGTTTCTGTGCACTTTGGAGGGGAAGAAGCAGCAGCTTTGCAACAGGTGTGTGGAAGCTGCTGTGGCCTGCAGCTGGGTTGGACCTGAATTGTTTTCATGCTGCTGCAGGCGTGTACAAACTTGCAGCCTGAGAGAGAAAATCCACACTAAATGCTCTTTAACTATTCACAGTAGGGGGGCAGAGAGTCACTGCAGGGGGATGGTGTGTGTTTATATGTTTACTGTTGCTACAGCACTAATACCTGTTTATGATTTGGAGCTGAGCACACTACTAGAGATTAATACAGGGGTTATAAAAATGACTGTTTCTGCTTTATTCTATCGATTCATATGAACATAAATGGAAATACAGCATGCATGCGCGAAAGCCAACATTTAGCTGCTTTTTGTTCCATTCCATTGGCAGTGTATTTTGGATCATTTTCGTGCTAAAAAAACATTGTCAATCAGTAACTTCTGAGATGGTATTGCATAGTGAATCGAAATCTGTTTGTACATCTCTGCAGTTTTAATTCCATCATTTTTGAAAAGATCAACACCACTGGTTGAAATACAGTTCCAAACCATGACAGAGCCTCCA